AAGTCATGCGGAAGGGCCGACAGGCAGCAGCCTTGCCCGCGTTTTCGCAAGAGAGCGCTCATTCGAGCACAGCGTCGTGCCATGCAGGCCTCTGATGGCCGCACATTTTATCGAGGCCGCTGGGTGCATGCTCGAGACATAGGTTGCCCTAAACCAGCGCATCAGCCGACTGAGTCTGCCAGGGCATCCAAGGGTCAGCGACTCCGTGTTTTGAGCTTGAATCTTGGTAGCATGGACAGCATGACATATGACACTTTCATGACTTGGCTTTCCGGGGAGGGTAAAGAGTACGACGTCATTATGTTGCAAGAAACACACTATGGCCTAGGCAAACAGTTTTCGGAGTGGCTCATTCCTGGCTACACATTCGTCAGCAGTCCCGACCCTCAGAGTCGTTATGCAGGAGTGGCCGTTCTCATCTCGACAAAGGTGGCCACCAGCACTCAGGTGCGTCATCAGGTGCATGTGGCCGGAAGGCTTCTGCACATCCGAGTTCCGATCGGCAGCGGCAGGCAAGCCTCCCACCTTGATCTGATTTGTGTCTATCAGTGGGCGTGGGATGCTGACCCAGAGAAACAGCGAGCTGCCAAGCGCCAGGTCGTCTGGCAACGCCTGGACTCTCTTCTGCGGTCTCTGCCACAGCGCAATTGCAAATGCATTGCTGGCGACTTCAACTGCTCATTGCGTGAGCGGCCCCACTGTGTAGGCCAGCATTTGCATCGCAACACTGCTGGCTACCCAGATGTCGACGATTTTGGCACGCTTTTGGAAACACACCACTTGTGTGCCTTAAACACCTGGACCAGGGCGGCAGCCGTCCCCACATACCTTCAGACAGGCGAACAGGCAAGGAGTGCGCAGATTGACTACATTTTGACCGGACAAGCTTCAGCCGATGCCACAGCGCGCACGGCGCGCACCAGGCCCAAAATCTGGTTCTCACCGTGGAGAGGCGGAGGCAGGCATCATGCAGTGCAGGCCAGCATTAAGCTCCATCAACACCTTTCTCCAAAAAGCGCTCCCAAACCTGTCAGCTTCAGCCGCATGGCGATTCGTGAAGCCTTGCGCCAGCCTCAATCCTCTTTGTGCCGACAGCTTACACAAGAAGTCAGCCGGCGACTGCAGGAGACTTCGGAGCCTACGGCTGAGAGGCTGAATCAACTGTTGCATGACTCGTGCTGTGCCTTGTTCCCTGTGCAGCGCACTGCTAAAGACCTCAAGCCGTGGCAACAACCTGACTCCCACCATGACGTCAAAGCGCTGTGGCGCCATCACAGTGCGCTGAAGGCGATTAGGCGCGAGCGCATAGCTGTAGGCTTACGCTCCAGGCTCACGCAAGCTTTCCGGATCCTTAGAGCACATGCCAGACTGCAGGTTTGCCAGAAGGTGTTGCGTAAGCGTGGCCGTGAGCGTCGCAAACAACTGCTTTTGACTTCATTGCATAGGGCTGAGGCTGCAGCTGCTGTCGGGGACATGTATAAGTTGTTTCAAGAGATTCGCCGACTTGCCCCGAAATCCCCCAAAGAACGCATCCAAATTCGCAGTCCCGATGGCCGCATCCTTAGTGAGCACGATGAACTTCAGGAGATTTTGAAGTATTTCAAAGGTGTCTTTTGTCGGGATGCACATGTAGCTCCCTCCGACCTTCAGTTGACCCAGCAGTTTGCAATCAGTGACGTTGAAGTTCAGAACAGCATCAGCAAACTTGCCACTGGAAAGGCTGTTCCAACTGGGGCTGTGCCGCCGGAGGTATGGAAGGTTTGCATGCCAGAGCTTCTACCTCACATACAACGACTTTTTGCGCAACAACTTCAGGGTAGACTGAACCTGCCGTCCACATGGGCGGACTGCCACTTGTTTCTGCTCCCTAAACCCGCTAAACCCACGAAAATTCCATCCAGCCTCAGACCTATCGCTCTGCAATGCCCACTGGGTAAATGTCTTGCACGTGTTATACAAAGACGGCTTCTTGAGCACATATTGCCTGCACTGGACAACACTGCACAGTTTGCATACCTTCCAGGTCGGAGCACGCATACGGCGCTGTCTTTGATCGCAAGTCATTGTCAGCATGTTCGCTCACATTTGATCAGCTCTCGGATCGAGGTCAGAGATCGCAAACTAGGCAAAACTGCTAGCATCATGGGTGCTGCAATGCTGTCAGTCGATCTGAGTCTGGCTTTCGATCAGGTCAGCCACCAGTATTTGCGAGCAGCACTCGAATTCTTGAGCGTTGACCCAGACATGATCACGCTCATTTTATCCATACACAGAGCTACGTATCATGTGCAACACGGGCAAGAATCTTCGTGCTTTGATATTTGCAACGGCATAAGGCAGGGGTGCACGCTCTCGCCGCTGTTATGGGTCTGCATCACTCATTACATGTTGCACAGGTTTAGCCTCAAGGCAGGGACAACAGCTCGTGACAGTCTAGTGCTTTTCGCTGATGATTTTATCTCGAAATTTATCCTGCGTGACATGACTGACGTGCAAGCCCTCGCCACAAACATCCGGTACCTTTTCGAAACTTTGGGTGAGGCCTGTATGACTGTTAATCCCGAAAAATCTAAGCTTCACATCAAGGCTGCGGGAGTTCCGTTGAAAAAGTGGCTGAGCAAACACACCGTCACCCACAAAGGGGTCAAGTGCCTGGCCCTACGCACACCTTTTGACACGCTGTATCTGCCTCTTTGTGATCAGATGACTTACTTAGGGGCCGTGATCTCTTACGCTGCCTTCGAAGATCAATCTGCTGAGCACCGCATTAGCAGTGCTCAAGCGAATGTGTCCAGGCTGGCAAGGCACTTATTCACGCAACATGGACTCAGCTTGAGGCTGCGTCTGCGCTTGTTCATGACTTGTGTTAGAGCGTCCCTGCTGTATGGCATCCCGTCAATCGGAGTCACTGCTAAAAGCCTTCGCCTTATGCAGAGATTCGAAGCCAAGCACGTCAGAAGGTTAGCCAGGGCCCCAGCGCATTTGACGCATGAGAGAACGCAGGACCTTTACGCGAGGCTTGGTCTCACTGTCTCACTTCTTTGCAAGACGCGCTGCTTGCCCGTGCACAGAGCAGCGTTGACTCTTTTCAGAAGCCGTATCAGTTTCCGTGGAAAGGAGACCTGCGTAATTGGCAAGTGAAAAAGCTTGACGAACTTAAAGAATGCATACAACTCAGTCAGTCAACTACACTGACTCAGACTGTGTCAGAGGGGGTTCCGTGCCCGGTCTGCGGCGTCTACTTTGACACCCAGCATGCCATGCGTGCACATGCCACGCAGAAGCATTCTATGATCTTTACTGTTCAGCCAGGCACTGCCATGAGTCAAACGCTTGATCCTCGTAAGCACAGTATGGGCGGCATGCCCACATGTCGCCACTGCAAAAAGCCTTTTAAGAAGTGGGCTGGCCTTCGAGACCACATCCTGAATGCTTGCAGTGTCTGGAGCGGCATTGCCACTCGTCAAGTTGACTCAGTCCCTGAGCTCACGTTGCCACAAGCACCAGCTGCTTCGACTGCCTCAACCCCGAACCCTGCTGACTCGACCCCAGTTTCTGCTCAAGGTCCTGATGACCCTACTGCCTCAGCTGTTGCCAACATTTCGGAGCATCGACAAGCTGCTGGTGCGGATTGGGTTTCATTTGCAGAAGCGCTTGGGCATCAGCTTAAGGACACCTGCATGTTCTGCACGCAGTGGTGCGCAAAAGGTGGCGGAGTCAAGCAACATATCCGCCGCACTCACCCTGAGCATTGGCATCGTAACGAAGACGTTCTCTTCCGTCTGAAACAACATTACCGGCTCAAATACAAAGGACGTTGTCGGGCTTGTGCGTTTGAACCTTCGGGCACCCAAGCAGGCGCCTTACACACCCCCAAATGCCCAGCATATTACCAGGCTTGCCTATTACACGTGATTGTTCAGGCACAGCATGGAGCCCACTCTGGCGGAGAGGGAGGTGGCCAACGTCTTCGGTTCCTCGATGCCGGCCATTGCAGCAGCCAAATCGCAGCGCAGGGATCCGGACTCAAGCCCGGAGAAGTCGAAGTTCCTCAAGACCGATCGAGCCAAGGGAGTTCGAGGCAAGGGATTGGGAGGTCGCAAGCCGGCCCAGACCAGGGCCACGGGATCCCAACAGCAGCAGCAGCAGGAGACACTGAGCGAGGAAACCATAGCGGAGCTCCTAGCCATCCTAACCCGACTGGCCCTCAAACACGAGGACATCTTGGCAGCAGTGCAGGCGGACAGCTGCTTCATGATGTATCTGGACACATCCGGCGACCTCTCCATCACGACCAATCTGTACCAGATCACACAAGCTTGGCAGACCAAAAAGCGGGACACCCCGGAGCTGCTCACGCAAAGTCTTCGGGTCACTCTTCTGACGGCACTGTTCATGGAGCTTCGGGAGCGCATGAACACGGCCCTGCTGGCAGAAAAACGCGAAGTGCTCGCCAAGCATCAGTGGATCAGCACCTCCGACCCGGCGACCTGGAATTACCAAAAGTGGGATCCGACGACCGAAGCCGCGGTCGTGGACGCGGCCAAGGTCGGCGTGCCGCATCAGGAGGCCATAGAGGTCATCCAGAAGATCATCCAGCTAGTTCCGTCCCTCCTTGTTCAAAAGTTTCACAGCACGCGACCCCAGGCTGCCGAATATCAATCCAATGTCCTCCCGTTTATGCTCATGATCAGCAATCGAGGCGAGAAGGCGCAAGACCTCTACAATCTCTTTCAAAAGATCTCCGACCTGAGTGCACTGCGGCTCATCGGGGCGCGACTCCGTCCTCATCGCCAACGCCGTCAGCCATTGGCGCTGACGCTGGAGGACGTTGCAGCCGAGCTCCTGAAATCATCCAACCGAGACCGCCAGCCGGAGGGCGAGCTTTGAATGCATGGCCAACAGGTACACCTGCATGTCCAGTGTTGTTCAATCCAGGACAGATCTGTTACATGAACTCCGTCATCACTCTATTTTCATGGCTTGTGCAGGCATTTGCGATGGACCTGCCGTCGCCATACGGCGTGATGAAAACGGCTTTTGGGACCATCAAGGCTGGCCTAAAACTCACCATCACCAACTGCCTTCCTTGGCAGACCGTGATCCGGCAGTGGTTTCGTGAAATGCAGACTGACCTTCATGCGCAGCAGGATGCAGTAGCATTTGCCGAGTTTTTGCTACGCCAAGCAGACATCCCAGCTTTCCGGGGCACTTGGGAGGCCAGAACCTATGAACGGATCTTGAGTGACTCAGGTGTTTTGCCTATTCGACTTGAGCTACGTACAGATCTTCAGGCCTGCATTGATTACTGGCATGAGCAGGCTGTGCGCTTCATCCAGGCACTGCGTGTGCAGCCCGCATTGCTCTTACTGCAAATTTCGCGTTTTGACCCGGAGGATCCACTTCGCAAATATGATGCACCGCTTTTGATTGAGGCAGGCCAAGTCATCACCATGCCGTGTTTCGACGATGCACACAGCATCATACGCGTGCGATACAGAGTTGCCGGTATGATTTACCACTGTGGACCCACCATCCATGCAGGTCATTACCAGACGAACTATCTCCGCGCGTGCACGGATGAGTTTTTATTTTCCCTGCAAAACAAATTTATTTCGCTTTCGAAATAAATTACGGCATGTGTGTGACTGTCTCATGTGAGCTATGTTAAGAGTGTTTCTCACGAAACATTTCTGCTCAAGGGAGAGGTGGGTGGGACCCCCAAAGTTTTGTAGAATTTTTCGTCTGGGGGTAGTGTATGGATGGTGCCGGGGCTCAGCCACTGAGCGAGTGAGCAGTCCGTGAGCTGCTACATGACCTTGAAGAGCGTGTGCTTGAAGCTCTAAGTGACGTGCTTTACAGAGCGGATAGACTTGAGGTCTGTGCCGGCTACTGTCCATTAGCAGCTGCCTTCTGCAGAATCGCATAGCTTCTTGTGAAGGCTTGTATCGGAGTGAGACGACTGACGTCGTTCTCGAGCACTAGACTGATGGAGCTGTGTGACAAGTCTTGTCAGGAGGAAACTGAGGCCACTAGCATGGCCCTCCCGGAAGACATTGATCTTCTGGAAGATGATGTCCAGGAGGCCAGTGTGGAGAAGCTTTCTCATGAGGCTTCCTTGCGGATGTCAGTTGCCATACAAGACGCAGGGTTAGGTTTAGGGCGTTGCGTGATTGACACAAAGCTTCCTTGGGAACTTCCGGGACTTGAGCTGGTTTTTGGTTCTCGTGCAAGTGTGCTTCCAAAAGCCAGTGATGCCATTTTACCGCAGGCGGTGCCTTTTCCTGTCAGGGAATCTGTTGAAGAGGCATCCTCTTCGCGCGACTGTGCGCATCGTGCAAAGAAGGCCAGAGCAAGCGTCACCCTGGGAGCCTGCTTTCGGGATGTTGTCAATTTCAACCTTGTGGAAACTGACGCTGCGCTTGAAGAAGTCAAATGGACCAGAGCTTTAGAAATGTGGCTATTCGTGATCATGGAGGACTCCAGCTGTTCTGCGATAGGATCACGGATTAGCCGCAAAAACGGAGCTGATGCCATGAAGTGCCTTCGTGAACTCTTCGGGAAGAAAGCATCCAGTACCGTCGCAAAGCGTGGGAGTGCAATGCAGAAGTTCGTTGTGTGGGTACACAAAGCTTGCCCAGGCGAGTGTGCCCTGCCTATCACTTCAAAGCGTGTCGATGATTACATCGAGCAACTACAGGAAGCTAAGGTCCGACCTGGATCTTTCACAAGCTTTACTGAAGCTGTCAATTTCTCAGTGCATGTCGTTGGCTTGCCTTTCGATTGTGACGGATCTCTGAGGAACCCTTTCTCAGGAAAGCAGTTGTTCAGTCCTTGGGCTCGTGGGGCTGTTGCGCTGGAGATACAGAAGAAAGCAGAGAGGAGGCAGAGCGCTGTCCTAACCACTGACAGCGTTCTTTACCTTGAGGCTTTCTTGAGCGACGAGGATGAAGATTTAGTCGACCGTTACGCTGCAGGATGCATGCTCTTCGGTTTGTTCAGCCGTAGTCGCATTAGTGATCTCAGAAAGGTCAAGGATTGGATTTTGGATTTTGATTGTTTGCAAAGCCACGGGCAAGGTTTCCTTGAGTGCAGCACTCGCAGTCACAAGACTGAGAAGGACGTCGCGGCCATTGGTCTTGCCATGCCCCTTGTTGCACCGGCTGTCGGCCTAGGTAAGGTGAGCTGGGCTGTTACATTCAGCAAGGTTGCTTCTGCAGTAGGTTTGGGATTCGTAGGTCGGCCTGAGGGGCCTTTGCTGCCCGCTCCGGACGTTACCGGAGGATGGTTGTCCAGGTCGGTGACCACCTCCGAAGCTGGGGCTTGGCTCTGCAAGATTCTTGATAAGGGAGGGCAGCCATCCCAAGGGATCACAGGTCACAGCTTGAAAAGCACTACACTGACCTGGGCCTGTAAGTTTGGTTTCGATAAGTATTCCCGGTTACAACTTGGACACCATGCCACTGGCGAAGGAACATTGCACACCTATGGCCGAGATTACTTGGCGCCTGCCCTCAGGCGCTATGATGAAATGTTGGCTGCAATCAGAAACGGAACATTCTTCCCGGACCTTACGCGCTCGGGTCGCGTGCGAGGCACTGCACAGGTTCCGAAGGTGGAGGTCTCTGATGATGAAGTGCCTGATCCCGGGTTGACCAGCTTCGCTTCAGAAGGTTCTTTTGAGGCCATTGGTGTAGCATCCGCCGGAGAGAAGAGTGATGAAGATCAGGTTGCAGCACCCACTGACCATGAGCTGTCCTCCTCGGACAGCAGTAGCTCGCAGGACGAAGTCGTTGCAGGCAGGGACCACCCCGACTTGGACAATGACGAGATGGCGTGTGCAGTCGCCCGTCCCAAGCCAAGTTGGGAACCTGGATATGTCATGTACAAACATGTTAGGACACAGGTCGTTCATCTTTGCGCACAAGGCAGTTCGACCGGAGTTTTTGCGTGTGGGCGGAAGGTGACGTCCGATTTCAAGGAGGTCGCCCAAACTAAATTTTTGTCGTTTCGGAAGTGCAAGACCTGTGAAGGGGCAAAGCCGCTCCGCGATCCAGGAGCATTGGCCGAGGCCGTTAACGCTATGATGCAGCGAAAGTCGGCTGCAGAGAGTTTCTGAAGGTGCACTTGAAAGGCATCGCCTGAGAAAATACAAGGCAGACGACTTGTGGTTTGCAAAGTGAATGTCTGTTTGTGGAGAGTCGCTGTTGCATGTTCACAGCCTCCATCGAGTAAGTGACCGATGGGACTACGTGGCCGAGACGTGCCGGCCGCAAGACTTACCACCAACTTGAGCGCGCCTACATGTTCCTGTGCTCAAGAGGGCCGAGTGAAAGTGCACTGCGGCTGCGCCGAGATGTGCCGGTGCCGAAGGGTTTATACATCACATGCAAGATTGCTATGGCTTCTAGGTCTTGACTGGAATACAGGATGGAATGATGAATATGCGTTCAGTTGGGAAACACTGCTTCCTAAACTGCGTGCCTTCGTACGAGCCTGTGTTTCGGAATATCATCTTTTCGATAGCGCTGTGCCAGTACCGAGTTTAGCTGTTTTGAGCCGTGCCAGTGCCATGACCTCTCTTACCGAGAGCCGAGCGGCCTTCGAGGATCGTGCGGCCGAGGTCGGATTGTCTGCCGACGACATCGCGGCCCTCACTGGATCCGGCATCCACAGTCTAGCCCGTCTAGCTTTTGCGACAGTGCCGCCAGGGGCTACGCCTTCCAATGATCAGGTCCGCGAGCTTTTTGGTACTCGAGTAATCAACGCTGGTGTCGTCGCTGCCACAAAGCGACTGATCTTTGAGGCTCACACGATGGTTGTTGCAGATCTTAAGCAGAAAGTTGAAAAAGGGGATGATCCAACATCCCAGCGACTGAATCCTGCTGAGCGCGAAGCTCGCATCACAAGGCAGCGGGCCCGGCTCACAGGGTTAACGCACCGTGGAGTGGAAGAGGTCGCATTCGAGGCGTACAATTTGGTGTACGGCATGTTGCAACAAGACACGCTTGTGTACCAGCATCCAAACAAATTCACCACGCGTCAGCATGAACTTCAGCTTAAGAAGGCGGTGAAGGAGGTTTCGTTGGATGGGAGTGGCTCCTTGACAGTGCGAGACAAGCCGCAGCAGGCCACATGTGATACCCACGGAGAGCTGGAGCTGGTTCAAGCGCTCCGCCGAAGGGCGCTCGCATTCGACCTCGTAGGCTGCTGCTCTTACGATGCTATGAACATGTATCATAGCCTGCTCATCCAGCGAGTCCAGGACGCGCCGCCGCCTAACTACGCAAAGGTTAGTGTGGTTCAGGCACTCCGCGCTGACAGAGCGGCTTTCACGAGGATCGCTGAGAAGGTGCGTAGCCTGAAGACAGGCGCGGATGGGGTCCGTCCATTGGACCGTGCCTTCGAGAACATTCTCGATGACACACATGTCAGCTTTCATCTTCTGCCGCTTGCCATTCCCGAAAAACCTAAGCACCCGCCGCCTCCGCTCAAAAGGAAGGTCGAGGATCAGCAGGCCGATGACAAAGGGAATAAGCCAGGTAAGAAGGGCAAAGGCACAGGGAAAGGTAAGAAAGGTGGTGCTAGGCTGCGTGTGCCGAAGGAGTTGATTGGAAAGTGGAGCCAGAACAAAGATGGTGAACGCTTGTGCTGGGCATTTAATATGCAGTGCGGCTGTGGAGACGCCGCCCCGGGGAGTGCATGCTCGCGCGGGCTGCACTTATGCGCAGAGCCGGGATGCTTGCAGCCTCACTCTCTTCAGGAGCATCACAAGAAAAGCGGCGCTTGAGGGCCTGGGGCCCCTGAGCTTCGGACTGGGAAGGAGCGAGTGTCCTTCCTTGGACGTGCCACTGAACGTGTGGCCAAACTCAGCATCGCTGAAGCATTTTGCATTCAGGTTTGCTCAGGGGCCGGGAGGTTCACTGCGGCTCTTCGTGCATGTGGAATGAAAGATTCTTTTGCTGTGGATGCGCGGGTCGAGGGAGCTGTGTGTCCTATTGTATCACTGGACCTTAGCACTGCTGAGGGCCAAAAACACTTCCTTTCGCTTCTTAATGAGCCTAACCTGGTCTATGTGCACATGTCACCGCCGGCTGGTACTGCCACTCGCGGTGCCGGGCTTCGTGATGACTTGCATCCGCATGGGCTTCCTTCCTTGAGAGGTGCAGACAAAGTTCGGGTCAACCAGGCCAACCGCTTGTTCGAATTTTGTGCTCGTGCCTGCAAGATAATGTACATGCGAGGGATTTTATTTTCAGTTGAAGGACCTCTTCAGTCATTTTTGTGGGCCACCAAGTGGTGGCGAGATTTCTTCACAGACGTACCAATTTTCGCCACAACCTTGCACCAGTGCATGTTTGGCCACTCCCGAAAGAAGGCGACCCTGTTGGTGCACACACTGCCTGCCTTCCTTTGCCTTCAACGCACTTGCGACGGCAAGCATTCGCACGCTTCTTGGGATTTCGCTAAGTCCTCTGCCGAGCTTAGTTATCCTTGGGCTCTCGCACGAGAGATGTCCACTTTGCTGCGAAAACAATTGCTTGATCTGGGTTGTGCCGACGCGCCGCAGTCCTTGCACGAGCTTGATAACCTAGTGACCGGAGCCCGCGTGTATTCCGGAGTTCAGGCCAGCAAACGCGTCTTGCCATTGGTCTCAGAGTTCAAAAACCGGGTCATGGTTTCAGGGTGTTGCGATCCCGCTTGTGTCAGTGGCCTTGAGCGCCGGAAAGTCCTAACGGAGGATTGGACTCCCCCTGCCGGGTCCACTCTGTCGGTGGACCTGCTCTCCATTCCTGCTGGAAGCAAGGTCCTTAGCATCTCCACACAAGGGGTGCAGCCAGATGCCGAAGGGGTACATAGTCATCCTGAGGTTAGTCCCGCTTGGGTTCCTTTGCCGCCTGCTCCCTTTTGTCCTAAGCCTCAGGTAGGTTTAGCGAGTTCGGGAGTGTTGGCGCAACCACCGCCTGCCGATGCGCAGAAATGTGAACATCTAGCTTACGAAATTATGTCGCGCCGCCAGCCTGGTGAGCTCACGGCCGATGACATGTTCGAAGTCCTGTCACAGACACCCGAAGTCCTTCCAGCCAGGGCCCGAGGTATCCAAACGGAGGACTCGCACCAGTGGTTCTCCGGAGGCTACAGCCATGGTCCAATGGTCGGTGTCCGAAACTCAACTCTGCGCTGCCCTTGGACCACCGCCTTGGCATGCCGGTATGTACGCGAGCAAGCTCCGTGGCACAGGTTTGGAGCGATAGCATTCACGGTGAACCTTTTGGCTGAGCCACATGTGGATGCTCATAACGACCCTAGCTCTAACAACCTTGTGCTGCCTATTACGTCGTTCAAACGAGGTGGCCTGTGGCTTGCTGACAAAGCAGGCAGCTCGCCGAGGACCATAGACGGCACACGAGTGATGGGCACGGTGCTTTCCTTTGACGGCGGGGGAATTTGCTTCAACCCACGTGTGCCTCATGCGACTGAGCGCTGGGAAGGAGATCGTGCTGTACTAGTTGCATTCCTCCCGGGAGGTTTGGACGAGCTCGAGCAATGTGACCGGGCGATCATGGACGAGCTCGGCTTCGTCACATCTGCTTGTGCCACTACCAATGCAGCCTCACAGCCCGTGAAGTTTACAGCTGAGTTTGGTGTCAGGTGGTCGCCCGAGGAGTTCGTCGAGCAGGCGTGCAATGTTGAACACCCCAGCAGCCTTTCGAACCTGCTCCCAGCAGACCTTGAAACCGCTGTTCGTAAAAACTTTGAGTTGGGCGAGCACGCATTGGGGCAGCATCGGACCGAGCTGATCAGAAAGTGGATTGCACGGGCGAACTCCCTCGTTGGTGAAGAGGATGCGCTGCGAAAGGGAATGTCCGATAACCGGCGTCACATCCTTGCACAAAAACGCCTGATCCTGTTCAGGACCCTTCTTGAGGATGCCGAGCACGCTGACCAAGGCCTCTTCAACGACTTAGTGCAAGGGTTCGACCTAGTTGGTAAGTTGCCTGAAAGTGGATTCTTCAAGAAGAAATTCAGACCAGCCAGCATGCTCGAAGCAGACTTGCGACAAGGTGCTGATCGTGCAAGGGAAGCCACTCTGGCGACTGTTGGGCCAGCGGATGATCCTGTCATCGACGAAGGTGTGCTGCAAGCGACCCTTAAGGAAGTAGACGCCGGTGTAGTCGAGGGACCCATAGACCCCAGCACGCTTCCTGAGGGAGCCACGCTTACCCGCCGTTTTGGTGTGGTTCAGGGAGAGGTTGATGGCGCGCCCAAGGTGCGGCCAATCGATAATTATAGGGCCTCTAGAGTTAATGCTGCCGTGACGCAATCGGAGCAAGTCACGGTCCACACTCTTGACGTGGTGGCGGGCATGATTTCGTCTTGGCTAGCCCGCGCCAAGGCCCATCGTGTCCGGTCTGCGATGAATGCCAAAACGTGGGACCTTAAGGCTGCGTATAAACAACTGCCTCTCAGTGACACCGCATTTGCTCGAGATGCCTACTTCGTGATCTACGACCCAAGGAGCCAGAAGCCCGCTGTGTTCAAGCAGCGGGCTCTCCCTTTCGGATCGCGAGCTTCAGTTACGGCGTTCATCAGATGCGCAGTGGCCGTCTGGACGGTAGCAGTCAAGTTGCTGTTCCTAGTTTGGTCCGTCTATTTCGACGACTACCTTAGCATCGCCCGCAGCAGCGAAGCAAAGCACGTCGAGCTGGTAATCAGTGTGTATTTTAGGCTCCTTGGGTGGAAGGTTTCCACCGATAAGCTTCTCCCCTATTCCACTTGCTGTAAGGTGTTAGGGATTGAGCTTGATGTGGGAAACGCCATTCGGGGTTACGCCTTGTTGAAGAATACCCTGAAACGCCGAAACGAAATCATTGCTTCTCTTGAAGAGGTGCTCGCTCGGGGCAGCATTGACGCGACGACGCTTGAAAAGATTCGAGGGCGAGCCCAGTTCGCAAGTGGCCAGTTGTTCGGCAGACTGGCGCGGCAGGCGCTTCACTGTTTGTCGGACAAGCCTTCGAAGAGCTTCTGTGTGTCCGAGCGCTTCAGGTGGGGTGCCACTCACCTTGTAGAGCTTTTGCAGAGTGGTTGCTCCAGAGTCGTTTCTAGGGACTTAGGTGATAACCGCCTTGTTTTTGTAGACGCTTCCTTCGAGCCGTCCGGGCACAGTGGGCTTGGAGGCGTCTGCTACGATGCCGACGGGAGAATCTTAAGTTGGTTTGGGGCGACCGTCCCTAGTGACTTGATTAAGGTTCTGCTGAGTTGCTTCGGGCGCGACAGAGAGACAGTGATCTTTGAGCTAGAAGCTCTTGCAGTGGTAGTGGCTCTTGAGCTTTTTAAATGTCATCTGTCTCAGAGGAACGTTGTAGTGTACACGGACAACTCAGGTGTGCACGGCGCGTTCGTGAAGTGCTGGTCAGAAAACCCAGTAGGCAGTGCGATGGCTTTCCTGGCAGCCAAGCGTGAGTTTGACTTACAGGCCTTCTTTTACTACGACCGTGTGCCGTCGCACAGCAACCCAGCTGATGCGCCTTCTCGAGGTGTGTACTCAATGGGCCAGGATCTCCGTGCCGAATGTTCGGCAGACGTTCTGACGGAGACCCTTAAGTGCGCCCTCAGTACATAGCCACGTTTTTCAGGGGCGGCCAACGTGGGCACTCGTCTCCCCAGTCTGTGAAAAAAGAGAGTGGCGCGTCTTCGACTGCATATGAATGTATATTTGATTGACGATTCTTTTTATATTCCGAAAGATATTGGAGTCTGTGTTTCACATATCAATTCGTTTAATTTCTCACGCCCGGTGTTTTGCACAAAGGGAAAATAAGAACTATCTCCGCGCGTGCACGGATGAGTTTTTATTTTCCCTGCAAAACAAATTTATTTCGCTTTCGAAATAAATTAGGGCATGTGTGTGACTGTCTCATGTGAGCTATGTTAAGAGTGTTTCTCACGAAACATTTCTGCTCAAGGGAGAGGTGGGTGGGACCCCCAAAGTTTTGTAGAATTTTTCGTCCCGCCCGCCCAAGTCCCATCGTTCGGAGAGGTGCTCCAACGTGGTCTCACAGAGAAAGTGCTCTCGCTGGAACGTGCCGTAGCTTCCTTTAATTTACCGAACCGTTGCCCTGGGCCCTAAGCCCGGCCAACGTGGGCACTCGTCTCCCCAGTCTGTGAAAAAAGAGAGTGGCGCGTCTTCGACTGCATATGAATGTATATTTGATTGACGATTCTTTTTATATTCCGAAAGATATTGGAGTCTGTGTTTCACATATCAATTCGTTTAATTTCTCACGCCCGGTGTTTTGCACAAAGGGAAAATAAAGTTTTGTGCACCTTGCGGGCGGCTGAGGGCAGAGCATCCGGGTACCAACTTCATGTCACAGATGATGGTTGTAAACCCCGTAAGCCTAAACCCCAAGACCTTCAGCACCTGTCCACCGGAGCCTACCTCATAGGCGCCGTACGCTTAGATTGAGCACCTCTTGCGAAGCGCGCCGCATCCCGACAAAGAGTCGTTGCAGGCGCTAGCAGTTAATTCAAGTGCAATCATGTTTTCTCGAGTGTTCACCACTGTGCTGCACATGCATTTCTGCGGTTTGTGAGCTTTCTTTCTCGGGCAGCGCTTATGTTCCCTACAAGGCCGCCTGATGTTGCACCTGAGTTATGGCAGCTAGAACTGCCGAGCATACTTGGGCTTGCACATCCGGATTGTCACGACGACGATGATAATGATGACGATGAGCCATTGATTCCCAGGAGTCCTCTTCAGGCACAGTCGCGAACTGTTGAGCTGGTGTCGATCTTCGATGCCATACCGTATGATTCAACGCATTGCAGCTCACTAAGAAATCAGGTGATTAAATCCTTCACTGCTGGCATGTGCACCGTGGGCCGGTCCAGTGTACGACTTAACACCATTCATCATCCTGACTTCGTGCGACTGGTTTGTGCCATGATCCGTGATGTATGGCCGGAGCATTACTTCACCAGTTTTACAGTTGTGGAGGGCTCCACTTGCAGCTGGCATCGTGACCGGAACAACGCATCCGGATTGAATTTGGTCATTCCTCTCACTTTCTTCCGACAAGGTGCGCTGTATATAGAATCTCCTGAAGCTCCATGGGTCACCATTGCTGGGGAGACTCGAAGAGCTACCAGGGCTGATTTCACTATGGGGCCCATTGCATTTGATGCTCACAATCTCTCGCATTGTGCCGAAGTTTCCGAGGATCGTCGCATTGTTTGCATTGCCTACTGCCTGCGAGGAATCCAACGTTTGAGCGCAGAGCACTACAGCTTTCTGTGTGACATGGGATTCAATGCTCCACTTCTTGACTTGAGGCCAGGGGACATTTCTGAAACCATCGTTACCGATGGCTTTCCTGACCTGCGCTACGCTTGAGTATACACTGTCTCTCATGAGTTGGTGTACCGTGAGAATTTCGCAATCTAGCCGCAGATATGCCCTACGACTCATTGCGAGCTTCGGTTAGCAGTCCTCGCTGGACGCAGGAGGCTGCTATTGGTGTCGGGCACTGCTACGGCCACCGTTGCTTGCATCGTTGCAGTTGGGACGCCGATTGTAACACGAATGACGGGGGCATTACTTCACCATGTTTTCCGTAGCACACGTTCTTTTCTAGTTGTGATCATCGCTGTTCTTCGGGACGAATGATCTTACGTACTGCTGAATGCCAGCAGTCTGTGCTTTGGTCTACGGACCGGCAGACACGGATGCATAGCAGCTGCTCGCAGCCGGGCACTCAAAGTGCCTGTCCAAGTGTCGCCCCGCAAAGAGTTAGCTTTGTGCCGAGTTTGTACGACAGCTCCGCCGTCTGACTCTGCGTTCGGAAAGGAAAAGTGAGTTTTTGAAGCATCTCGGCCCGAGCTTCTTGTAGGTGAGTGGGCGGGGTAGATTGCAGGTGCTCATCACTACCCAGACTTTACGGGCGTTGGTGCTCTGAGACGTGTAGCTGCGTAGTTTTCACATGGTGACACGCATGGTTGCATTTTTCACGTGCTTTTACATTTTCATGCAGCTTTCACTTCACGCATGTCTGTTTGCTCCGCCTGGTTTGGAACCACGGCGACAACAACAACAGCAGCAATCACAGTCCATTGCACCAAGAGACACAGCACTCAGCATAGACCCTGCCGATAGTTTTAGCTCGAAGGGCCGCCAGGGTCCCAAGTCCCTGGGCGGAGCGCCCACGAACACGCCTGCGTCTCAACATGCAAGCTCCGCAGATGCGAGGGTTGCAGCACGTGCTGCCGGTGCTGCGGGAGCTAACTCCCAGGTCCTGAACATCAGCACAGAAGGACCAGCGAAGCCAGGTAGCGGGGCTTTCCCATCTTCACGAATTCAAAGTAGGAAGCGTGCATACAGGCGAGCTTGCCGAAGAGCACTTGCCTCTGCAGAAGGCACCACCAGATATCGAGGTAGGCTTTGTACAGCAGCCAGCCTCGGTTGCCGCCAAGCACCATTGTCAGGCCAGTCGAGTGCACAGCGCCGTGACACAGTCCGCCAGCAGACTGCAGGTCAACGACTCAGGGTGTGCTCTTTCAACCTTGGAGGCTTTTGTACCGCATCTTATGATACCTTCAAAGTGTGGCTGGAGGACAACGGTCATCGATTTGACCTCCTCCTCTTGCAGGAAACACATTTTGGTTTAGGGAAGGAGCCCAGCGAATTTCAATTACCAGGATGGTCTGTAATTAGTTCGCCTGACTCCAGCCATCGCTGGGCAGGAGTCGCGGTTCTGATTTCCCACCGTGTGGCCGCCGCCAGCTCACTTCAGCATTGCATTGTTGTTCCCGGCCGTCTCCTCCATGTCAGGTTCCCCGTAGGACAAGGACGTCAGGCTCGTCATGTCGACGTAGCGTGCTGCTATCAATGGAGTTGGGACGCAGATCCTGCCAAACAGAGGCTTGACAAGAGGCTTTCATACTGGCGAAGGCTCAACACTTTTGTGCAAGGCCTCCCGGCCAGAAATGTCAAATGCATCGGTGGCGACTTCAATTGTGCACTGAAGGCCCAGCCGAAGCACATCGGCACAGGGCTGCATGCCTCTGACTTTGTCTATCCGGATTCCAATGATTTTGTTCAGGCCATGATTGCTGCCAACCTTTGTGCCCTCAACACTTGGGGTCCCAGCAAGGATGCCTACACATACCGCCTCGACGGCCAGTGCCCGAAGAGGAGTCAAATAGATTTCATCTTTGCATCCTTGCCGCAAACCGATGCGCAGGCTAAGCAAGCCTGCACGGATCGTGCCATCCACTTCGCACCTTGGCGAGGTGGGGGCCGACACTTCGCCATAGTTGCAGACTTGCGCCTTGACACTCGATTTGCAACCCCCCCGACCCGAACAGCCCCCAGCCAAACCTTCTCCAGGACTCGACTCCTTGAGGCTATCCGGTGCAAGGACCCTGTGCTTGAGCAACTCGCATCGGATGTCGACTGTGCCCTTAGCGCTGCCAGGCCCACAACACCGGAGGGCGTCAACGCAGTCCTCTTGAGACACTGTGAGCGCCTTTTTCCTTCAGGGTCCGCTCCAGACCGTAAGGACATTCCTAGGAGTGCTGACCCCAGCAGGCCCGCTCAAGTAGAGCATACCGTCAGGCAAATGTGGGCTGCTTACCATGAATATAAGACTGCTCGAGCCGGGAACCCTGCCCTGACACAGCTGCAAAACACCTCAGCAACGCTTCGAGCTCATGCCAGGTTTAAAGAAATCCAGACTGCCCTCCGTAAGCAAGGCCTCGCCAACCGCAGAGCTAGAGTACTTTTTGAGCTCGAAGCAGCCGAAATTGCAGCGCAAGCCGGGGACATGCATAAACTGTATTATCATATCCGTAAGCTCTCCCCCAAGGGTCCCCGTGAGAACATCCACATCCGATCACCCGCAGGTCAACTGATCTCGCCCGAGGCTGAACATGATGCCATCATACAGTACTACACCGGAGTTTTCAGTCGCGACGCTGCCGAACCCCAACCGGCTTGCGCACTGCAATACGAGCACTCTTTCACACAGGAAGAGCTTACAGTTGCTTTATCCAAACAGAGAGGTGGGCGCGCGTTCCCGCCAGGATCCGCTCCACCTGAGCTTTGGAAGTGCCTTGCCCCAACCCTGTCCCGTCATGTCCTTCCATTGATAAATTCCCACCTTTCCCCGGGGCCGCTGTATATCCCTAGCATTTGGACGGACTGTTGGTTAAAGCCACTCCCGAAACCCAGTAAACCCCCGACCTGTGCTGCCAACCTCCGACCAATAGCGCTGCAGGATCCGTTAGGGAAGTGCGTAGCGCGTGTCATCAAATCCCGCATCCAAGATGAAATCTTGGACAAACTCGCATGCACGCCTCAGTTTGCATACTTACCAGCACGGAGCACAGCTAGCGCCATCAGCCGTGCGGCACGCTTTTGTGCGGCCGTCCGTGATAAGCTGCAGTCCTCCCGAATCGAGGTCCGAGATCGCAAGGCAGGGAAAACCCGCTCCCCCATCACAGGAGGAGGCTTGCTAAGTATCGACATGAGTAAGGCGTTCGACTACGTGAGCCACTCGTACCTCGCGTCCTCGTTGAGGCACTTGGGCATTTGCGAGGACACCGTCCAGCTGGTGCTTGCAT